AGGGTGCCGGAGCCGGAACTGGAGCCGGGAAGGGGGTCCGGTCTGCCCGTCCACGCGGAGGGGAGACGGGTGGGGTGGTGGGTGCAGAGGGGTCGCCTGCTGCTGTTCCTCGGTAACTAGGTCTGTTACTGAGATCAGTCACCGACCACACCCTCACGCCCTTCACGTGTGGGACTCGAGGTTTTAGTGGGTTCACAGCGACAGCCGCCGCCACGGGCGCCTGAGGGTGCTGAGGCCGCTCCCCGGGGAACCGGGGACTCCGCCAGCCCCCGTCCCCCCTTCCCACCCCCTTGCCGCCCCCTTCCTGCCCTGAGCCGCTGACCCGTCTCCGCGTGGGCACTTCCCCTCAACGGGGCCCGCAGCATGGGGGCTCCTCCCGCCAGGTCGTCTCTGTGGGGCCGGTCTCTGGGGGGCCGGTCTCTGGGGGGCCAGTCTCTGTGAGGTCGGTCTCTGGGGGGTCGGTCTCTGTGGGGTCGGGGCCGGTCTCTGGGGGGTCGGTCTCTGGGGGGCCGGTCTCTGCGGGCCGGTCTCTGTGAGGCCGGTCTCTGAGGGGTCAGCCCTCGGCAGGGTCTGCCCTCCCGCCTTCCCGTTGCTCATACTGGTCAGTCCCTCAGCTGACAGACGCCTGGGTTAGTCCCACATTTTAAAGAACATAATAAACCTCCTCTTACTTCCCTTTTTAAAATATGTTTTTATTGATTTCCTAGAGGAAGGGAGAGGGAGAGAAACAATGAGAGAAAATCGCTGATTGGCTGCCTCCTGCTCGCCCCTCACTGGGGATCAAGCCCTCAGCCCAGGCTGTGCCCTTGACCGGAATCGAACCTGGGACCCTTCGGGCCACAGGCCGGCGCTCTGCCTGCTGAGCCGCCCCGGCCAGGCTCCGCATGTTTGTTTGTCGTGAATATGGCTGCGAGCGCCTGCTGGCGGACGGGTTTTCTCTCTGGGTCTGCACTCTCCGCGGCCTGGCCCGCACCCGGGGCTCCCCGGCTCCCCGGGGGCTGTGCCCGGCTCCCCGTGGCTGTGCCCGGCTTCCTGCAGCGGCTGCCCCTGGACCCCGCCAGCAGCGAGCGGACGCCATGTCTCCGTCGCCAGCACAGACCAGGCCCCTGGGGGTTGTGAAGTGGCGTCTCCTGTGGTCCTGACCACAGGGGCGTTTCCCCGGCGACGGATGATGCGAGCGCTCCGCGTGTGCTCATTGGTCGTTTGGCCTCCTTCCTTTGGAGAGGATATTGGGGTCCAGGGTCCGTTCGCAGGGTGTCTGTGTGTCTGAGGCACAGAGGTGGTTCGTGTCGGTCCCTCCTCAGGTCCACGGTCTGCAGACGTTTCCTCCTCCTCGGACGTGCCTTTCGCTGTCCTGAGGGGTCCCTTGGGGCCTAATGGGGTCCCAGAATCGTACACGCTGATGACATCCCGTCTGTCTATCTCCTCTGCGACTCCCGCCGTGGCGCCACGGCTCCCAATCCCAGGCTGTGACCCCGTACGCGAGCTTCCCTGCACGGTGAAAAGTTCCCGCTCTGCATGCAGAGTGTGCGTGTGAGGCAGCTCCACCTTCCTTCGCACAGAGAGGAGTCTTGTTTTCATCCTTTTCTGCAACTTCCTGGTGTTTGTTGTTTTTCTCGTGGGCTGGGCGAGCAGCCTCATTTCACCCCCGTCCCCACGCCCCCGGGAGCCGGCCGGCCGCCCTGTGGTGGGGTTCCCATGGTGAGCCCCACAGAAAGCTAAACACACGACACACACACACACACACACACACACACACACACACACGCTGACCCCGGAGGACGGGAGCGCCCGCCCCCGCTCTGGCTGCGCCCGGCAGGCCTCCCGGAGCCTCTCCTTCCTGAGTCAGCGCCGCCGGGTCCCTCTGCTCAGCTGGCGTGGCCGCCTGAGCGTGCAGGGTCTCCAGGGACGTCCGCTCCCTCCTGGCGGGGCGGCCGTGAGGAAGGGGCCCGGGAGACGAAGCCGCTCAGGGGGGGGGGGGAGGGTCAGAGGGCACAGGGGACTGGTGACGGCTGGCGCCCAGTCACCTCAGTTAACCCAGAGCAGTCCCCTGGCGGCCGTCCCCTGTGTGTGTGGGTGACCATGCCCCAGCGCCCGGCAGGGAGCGGGGGGCAGGAAGGGGGTGGGAGGTGAGGCTGCCAGGAGGCGTGTGGGAGCTCGGAGGGATGTGTCAAAGGGGCAGAGGGCCCGGCCACATGGCTCAGGGGGTGAGCGTCGACCTGTGAACCAGGAGGTCATGGTTCCATTCCCCGTCAGGGCACAGGCTGGGGTTGCAGGCTCCATCCCCAGTGGGGGGCCTGCAGGAGGCAGCTGGTCCATGATTCTCTCTCACCATTGGTGTTTCTTTCTTTTTTAATATTTTTATTGATTTTTTACAGAGAGGAAGGGGAGGGGCAGAGAGTTAAAAATATCAAAGAGAGAGACTCATCAATCAGTTGCCTCTTGCACACCCCCCACTGGGGATGTGCCCGCAACCAAGGTACATGCCCTTGACCGGAATCGAACCTGGGACCTTTCAGTCCGCAGGCCGATGCTCTATCCACTGAGCCACACTAGTTTTGGCACCATTGATGTTTCTATCTCTCACTCCCTCTTCCTTCCTCTCTGAAATGAATAAAAAATACTTTTTATAAAAAGGGGGCAGTGGGTGGGCCCAGAGCAAACATGGCCTCCTCTCCCAAGCTGGCCTGTTCGGGGCTGGGACTGTCCAGGAGGAGGCTGGCAGCGGCACCTGGTGAAGCTGACTCCTCCGCTCAGCCGGCCAGCTCCCAGCGCGGGAGGGAGCCCTGCCCCGTGGCCTCACGGGGGGACGAGACCTGCCCTTTGTCTGCAGGAAGCAGAGGGCAGTGCCTGCCGGTCTGGCCCCGGCCCCAGGCTGAGCGCCCACACAGCTCACCGGGGACCCAGGAAGGAAGGACGCCCGGCGTGCGGCCAGAGGAGCGGGCGGCTCGGCACTGCCCGTCGGCAGCCGGTCAGGCCCTGGCTGAGCACCCGCTGGCAGGCGCCGGGAGCAGCCACCTCTGCCCGAGCACATGGGCTGCGGGGGCAGGAGAGGGCAGGCCTGGGCGTGGAGGGGGTGAGCCCGCAGGTGGTGTCTCCCTGAGAGAGAAGCCCTATCCTCACCCCGTGCGTGTACATGTATGTGCATGTGTGTGTGCGTGTGCGTGTGCCGCCCCTGGAGCTGCGGGCTGGGCGGAGATCAGGGGCTTGAGGGTTTGAGAGGAGGCCGTCCTGGACCTGGCTGGGCCCCGCGTGAGGGACCAGTGTGGGGAGGGGGGGTGTAAGGACCCGAGGGGAAGGCTGTGTGCAGACAGACACGGCGGAGACGGCAGTGACGCCGCCCCAAACCCCGCAGCGCCGGCCGGACCTGGAAGGGCAGGGAGGACCCCACAGGCCTGGGTGGGGGCGCGGCCTGGCTCACACCTCAACTGCAGGCTCTCAGCCTCCGGGACGGGGGAGAACTGGTCTCTGCTGTTGGAAGCCATCAGATGCAGGGGTCCGAGCCCACCTGCCACCAGGGCTCCTCCACACAGGGCACCCCACAGGCTGTGTCCCCTGAGGCCAGAGGCGGCTCAGGACCCAGCCAGTGCCCACTGGGCTCCCACGTCCCCAGGACCCCTCCGAGGCCCCAGGCCTCCACAGGCGGCGGGGGGGGGGGGCGGGGGGGCGTGCTCAGGGCTGACGATGGAGGTTCAGTGACCAAGGAGGAGGCCGCACTGCTGAACACACGGTGCCAAGTTTAATGTTTTCTGAGAGCGTCGGGGCAGCGGGAAGCGGTGGTGGGCACCCTGCCCAGGGGCACCCTGCTGGGGGGCATGCCAGAGGCACGGAGTCGGGCGTCTGACCAGCAGAGCTCCTTCAGGGGGGAGGTGTGGGCCCCGGATGGTGAAGGGGAGACTCGGGGGCCGAGGCCGGCAGTAGGAGTGGCCGGCCTGGGCATTCCCAGAGCGGGGACGGCTGCCTGGCCACCGGTGGCCGCAGGCCAGAGCACTGATGCCGGCGCAGCCCCCGGGCGCCCACACCCACCCAGCGGGTGTCTGGCCCCAGTGGGTGGGACTGCCTGTCCCTGGAACCCGAGGCAGGCGGGGGCCGAGCTGCCAGCTCCTCCCGCTGCGAGCTGAGACGGGAGGGGTCTCGTAGGAGAGTGTCTGACCGTCTAACCGCCACGGGCGGCGTGTCTGCGGGGAGGCAGAGGTGAGGACCGGGACGGAGTGAGGGGGTCAGGCCGGGCCGTGCCGCTCCGCTGGGGGCCCTGAGCTTTGCTCGAGGAGGAACATCTGCAGTTCTGAGCCCTGAGGTGCCGCTGTGTCAGGGCCGAGGGCGGCAGCGAGCGAGCTGCGGGCCCGGCACAGACCACGGCCAGGCCGGTGGTCCCTCTGCAGCCCGATCCCCCCCCTCCGCTGCCGCGGCTCAGAAAGACCCCGAGCCCTGGCGAGGCCCGGGGAGCCCCGGGAGTGGACACCGGTTGGGCTGGCCCGTGGCTGCCTGTGGCCTAAAGCATGGAGCCGGTGTGGCCGCTGTCTCCTCCTGGGAAAGGCGTCTCCTGCAGCCTCAGAGATGGGGTCCCCGGGGGCTGCGGGCTGTGGGAGGGCAGCCGCCACCCTCCTCTCCCTGCGGTTCCTGGGCTCGGCTCCGCTTTCAAAATCTGCATGATCGTCTGGAGCCTCAGGAGGAGGGGCGGCCGGGGTCACTTAAGGATACGCCCACAGCGGGGAGCGCTGGCCAGCCTCACCCGCCTGCTCCACCCACGATCTGATCTCACCTCCAGAGATGATCCTACCTCCGGAGACGGCAAGGCCCGGCCCCCGGGCCCCCGGCCCCCCAGCCCTCCGGCCCCCCGGCCCCACGGCTGCTCGTCCCTCCCTTTCCTGTGCGGGGCCTCGTGTCGAACGCCAAAGCGGGGACGTGGGGACCCCGCGTGGGGAGAGCTGCGGGCGGCGGGCGGCCCGGCGCTGGGCGGGGGGCGTGGGCGGGCGGGGAGCGAGGGGCGCGGGGCCGGGCTAGGGCTCGGCGGCCGGCTTGACCAGGTAGCCGCTGAAGGTGATGTAGGTGTCGAACTCGTCGCTGAAGACGGCGTTGTCGCGCTCCCCGCGGAAGAGCCGCACCCACACCTCGTCCTGCTCGCCCAGCGCCAGCATCAGGCTCTGGCTCTGCATGATACTGCGGCCGCTGACCTGCGCGTACAGGATGGCCACGGGCTCCGCGTTGCGCATCACGTGCAGGTAGGTCTCCTTCTGGTTCCACGTGTGCACGTTGAGGCTGAAGAAGTACACGCCGGGCACGTAGCAGTAGAACTTGCCGGTGAACATGTTGAAGTGGCCGTACAGGTTCACGAACTCCGTGTCGAACACCACCGTCTGGTAGTAGTCGTTGCTGTGCAGCGCCTTCTTCCTGCCCACCGAGAAGGCCGCGTAGTGGCTCTTGCACCGGTCGCCGGGGGCGCCCGCCGAGCCCTTTTGGCCCTTGGGGCCGGCGTGGCCGCGCACGCCCGCGGCGCCCGGCCGGCCCAGCTTCCCCTGCAGGCCCCGCAGGCCCCGGTCGCCCTTCTCCCCTGGAGCGAAGGAGAGCAGGGCGTCAGGCACGGCCGCCCCCTCCCCACCCCCGGACGGGCCATGCCCGGAGGCGGCCGCCCGGTCCCTGCCGGAGCCCTGGCCCCGGACGGAGCTAAGGGTGTGTCTGTCCTCCGGGGCGGCAAGGCCGGCCGCTCACGGCACAAATGGACGCAGGTGTTTGGGGCGCAGGGCCCGGACCCTCGACTTCCCGGCACGACTTTGCAGCGCGAGGGCACGCAGATGGCCTGCTGGGGGGCGGGGAGCACCAGGCCCCCAAACAGGGACCCCGAGGCCCCGCGTGTGAACGCAGGGGGGGGACCCGTCCCTCTGGGAAAGGGGCCCGGAGCCCCCCAACGGCACCTCCTCTCCCCCAGACAGCCGCCCGCTCCGGCCCCGTCTGGACAGAGCAGCCCCGGGCCCCACCTTTCAGGATGGTGATGTTGATCTGCGGCACCGGCACCGACGGGTACAGGGGGGCGCCGGGGTCGCAGCAGCGGTAACAGCGGGAGGCCGGGGGCTCCTCGCCCTGCCGGGGGCCGTACCCGCCATGCCTGTCTTCCGCCCTGAGGAGGCAAGGACAGCACGGTCACAGGGGCAGCCGCGAGCCAGGGGGCCGGGACCCCCCTCCGCCGGGCCCGGCGCCCCGGACGGGCCCCCTCACTCGCCCTGTCAGCCTCCCCTCTGCACAGACCCCCAGGGCCTGCAGTGAGACGGGGAGGGAGCCCCTGCCCTCTGCAAACAGCAGTCAATAGTGATGGACCCTGGCCAGTGTGGCTCAGTGGACAGAGCGTCGGCCTGCGGGCAGAAGGGTCCCAGGTTCCATCCCGGTCAAGGGCCTGGGCCTTGGGTGCAGGCTCCATCCCTGGCCTGGTGAGGGCGTGTGTGGGAGGCAACCGATGGATGTGTCTCCCTCACACCCATGTCCCTCTCTCTCTGTCTCTCCCTCTCTCCCTCCCACTCGCTCTAAAAGCCAAGGAGAGAATACCCTCGGGCGAGGATGGACAGAAGAAACTGATGACAAAGCAGCCATGACCGGAGGCTTTGCAGGAGGGAGGCTGCGGGAGGACGGGCGGAGACCAGGCCTTTGGGGCCGGTGACGGGCCGTCCCCCTCGTGCCCCTGGGCTTCCAGAAGATGCTCCAGCTTCTAAGCGGACTCACTGTGAGCGAGAGGGTCCCGCGGAGCCACAGGAGCTGGAGGTGGGGGGTACAGCCTGACATGGGGGACCTGGCTCCTGGCTGAGGGGCCGGTGGCGGCCCCGCGCTGCCACCGTGTGGCCGTGGGATGCGCTGCACCCTCATTTCCGCACTCAGGCTCTGGGGCCGGACACAGTCCCTCTGGGCGGCCAGCTCCTTACGTGCCCCCTCTCCTGCCCCGCACCCAGAGCACCCAGGAAGCTGGGCTACAGGCCCGGGCTCAGCCACCCACACCCTGGCCAGGATTCCATCCGGAGACCCACCCGCCCCCAGGGGTGTGTGTGTGAACTGTGGGCCGATCCCCCCTGCCCCCGGAGGCTCCCTCTGTCCCAGGCACAGCCCCCCTCGGCTGAGTCTCCCAGCTCCCCACCTGGCACTGTGGGCCAGGCTCTGACTGGTCTGTGTGTCTGCCCCCCACACTGAGAGTCCCCGGGGCAGGGGTGCCCGTGTGTCTGCCGGGGCCTGGGAGACGGCGGCCACAGCAGCCACTCAGTGTCCGCGGAGTGAGAAGCAGAAGAGGGGCCGGAGGAGCGGGGGGGGGGGGAGGAAGAGAGGGGGGGAGGGAGAGCGGGGGCTCCTGTGCCCCGCCCCCCAGACCCGCTGCTCCCTGAAGGAGCCGGAGCGGGGCCAGTGAGAGCCGAGCCGGCTGCCCCGGTGTCAGCGCCGCCCCTTCAGTGGACAGTTCATGACAAACCTGCACGTTCTGCATTCCCGCCCCACAGAGCCGGCCGCACTGAGGGACAGTGCGGACAGTGCCGCTGGGGAGTTCATCACTTCCGGATGGTTTAATCACTTCACCTCCACCCGCACCCTCACCCTCACCCACACCCGCACCCTCACCCTCACCCGCACTCTCACCCTCACCCTCACCCTCACCCGCACCCTCACCCTCACCCTCACCGGCACCCACACCCTCACCCACACCGGCACCCTCACCGGCACCCTCACCCTCACCCTCACCGGCACCCACACCCTCACCCTCACCCTCACCGGCACCCTCACCGGCACCCTCACCAGCACCCGCACCCTCACCGGCACCGGCACCCGCACCCGCACCCTTACCCTCTCCTGCACCCACACCCTCACCCTCACCGGCACCGGCACCCGCACCCTCACCGGCACCCGCACCCTCACCGGCACCCGCACCCGCACCCGCACCCTTACCCTCTCCTGCACCCACACCCTCACCCTCACCAGCACCGGCACCCGCACCCTCACCGGCACTCTCACCCTCACCCTCACCCTCACCGGCACCCTCACCCTCACCCTCACCCGCACCCTCTCCTGCACCCACACCCTCACCCGCACCGGCACCCGCACCCGCACCTCTCTGCAGGGTCCCGGTCCCGCAGCGGCTCCTCGGTGCCCTCCGGCTCCTGCGGCTCCTCCTGGTCAGGGGGCACGCGGCCCAGCACGGGGCCACAGGCGAAGGCCAGCAGCAGGCAGCACGCCACCACGCGTGCGGGTCCGCGGGAGCCCATGGTCCCAGCGCCTGGGGAGACAGCGGGGCGGGCGGGCGGGGCGGTCGGCAGGTCTGCAGACACAGCCCAGGAGTGTTCCCGGGCCGGACATCGCGTGTCCCCGCTCCTGCCGGGAGGGCGGCCACACACACACGCTGCCTCCCACACACGCTGTCACACATGCTGTCACACACACACACTGTCACACACACACACGCTGTCACACACGCTGTTACACACACTGTCACACATGCTGCCTCCCACACACACTGTCACACACGCTGCCTCCCACACACGCTGTCACACACATGCACGCTGTCACACGCTGTCACACACACACGCTGCCACACACTGTCACACGCTGTCACACACACACCGTCACACACGCTGCCTCCCACACACGCTGTCACACACACACTGTCACACACACACACTGCCACCCACACACGCTGTCACACACATGCACGCTGTCACACGCTGTCACACACACACGCTGCCACACACTGTCACACGCTGTCACACACACACCGTCACACACGCTGCCTCCCACACACGCTGTTACACACACACTGTCACACACACACACTGCCACCCACACACACTGTCACACACGCTGTCACACACACACGCTGCCTCCCACACACGCTGTCTCCTACACACGCTGTCTCCTACACACGCTGTCACACACACACACGCTGTCACATACACACTGTCACACATGCTGCCTCCCACACATGCTGTCACACATACACGCTGCCTCCCACACACATTGTCACACACGCTGCCTCACACATACACACACACACACACACAAGCTGTCACACACACACACACAAGCTGTCACATACACACACACTGTCACACACACTGCCTCCCACACACACTGCCTCCCACACACACTGCCTCCCACACATGCTGTCACACACGCTGTCACACATGCTATCACACACGCTGTCTCCTACACACACACACATGCTATCTCATACACACACTGTCTCACACACACATACTGTCTCCACACATGTTGTCTCCCACACACACTATCAGACACACTGTCACACACGCCCTCACACACTAACTCACTGTCACACGTTGTCTCCCACACACATACACAAGCACACTGTCTCACATTCACACAGCCAACACACACTGTAACACATGCAACACACACATGCACAACCCTCAGTTTCCACTCACTTAAGCACACTCTCACAGACAAGCACACACATGTTCACACAGGTGCACACACTTGACACCTCGGTCCACTTCTACATGCACACATGCCCTGCCACATGCACACACATGCTCACACACTCCGCACACGCACAGCACACTCACACGCCCTCCCACGAGCCCTCCCGGAATCCATGTGCACACAGCTCGCCCCTGAGCCTCAGCCCCAGGACCCCTGGGGGCACCCAGCTGCCCGGGCCCACAGCCGCCGGGAAGGGACCCGCAGCTGCGGGGCCCCAGAGGGGTGTTACCACCCGATTAGCACGATGAGCAAAACGCAACGCAGTGAGTAACCGGGTCCCACAATCACGTGAGCAGGCAGGTGGCTGCACGGCGCCCTGTGGCCACCAGGGGGCGCCACCAGCGAGCGTCCGGGAGCATCGAACTGGGAGAGGGGCTCAGGCCCAGGCCCAGGCCCGGCCTGAGGGGCTGTCTCCCTGGAGGCCAACCCCGCGTCTGGCTCCGGGTGCTGGGGGGGCTTTGGGCAAACCACGCACAGCCCTTCAGGACGACTGTCCCTGGGCCCCGAGCCCACGGAGGGCGCAGCTCGGGCTCCCACAGGCACAGCCCCCGGGGCTCGTGGGGGCTCCTGCCCGAGCACAGCACCCACCTGGGCTCCAGCTTAACCCGAGGACCTGAGGCCGAGTCCCCGGGCGGGTGCCCTGGGAGGGAGCGGCCGTGGGAACAGGAGCCGCCCGCCGGGGGCTCGGAGGCGGTTTCGCGGTCAGTGACGGTCTGTCTGCCCGGGAGGCCGCTGTCACCTGGGCCAGGGCCCCTCACCCCGACAGCCACGGGGGCCCTCACCCCGACAGCCACGGGGGCCCTCACCCCGACAGCCACGGGGGCCCTCACCCCGACAGCCACGGGGGCCCTCACCCCGACAGCCACGGGGCCCCTCACCCCGACAGCCACCCCGACAGCCATGGGGGGCCCCTCACCCCGACAGCCACGGGGCCCCTCACCCCAACTGCCACGGGGGCCCCTCACCCCGACAGCGGGAGGCCACGGGGGCCCCTCACCCCGACAGCCACGGGGGCCCCTCACCCTGACAGGACGAAGGCCCGTGGGGGCCCCTCACCCCGACAGCGGGAGGCCACAGGGGCCAGGGCGTGACCCCAGGGCGAGGCTCGGGGCCGGCTGGGGGAGGGGGCCTGGGCAGGCACAGAGCCGCACAGAAAGGGCACATGTGACAGCTCAGACCCAGAAAGGCCGCCCCGGGACCCCCTTCTCCCTGCACCCACTCCCCGCATGACCCACCTCCCCGCTGGGTGTCAGCGGGCCCCACCGCCAAGTCCCCCACCAGCCCAGCATCGGGCCCAGGGACCCTCCCAGGCCCCCGCCCCCCCATCCCTGCGCCCTCAGTCCACGGCCAGAGGTGCACACACTTGACACACCTCAGTCCACTTCTACATGCATGTTAGTCCCTCTGCCCAGCCCGGCGATTGGCTCAGGGGGGGAGCGCTGACCTATGTGACCCAGGAGGTCACGGTCTGATTCCTGGTCAGGACACGGGCCCGGGCTGCGGGTTTGGTCCCTAGTAGGGCAGCCAATCAATGATTCTCATCATTGATGTTTCTCTCTCACCTCCTTTCCTCTCTGAAATCAATAAAAATATATTTAAAATGAAAGAGAGAAAGAAAGAAAGACCAGGATGAGCGGTTAGCCAGAGATTCCCTAATTGTTAGGCGCCAGGGAAGGGGTGGGGGTGCAGACTCCACAGCTGCCCTCCTGTCCCACCAGAGGCTTACCGGCCCTCACCCTGACCCGGTGCCTGCCCCACGGCGGCTGGAGGAGCCCTGCCCTCCGGCTCCCGTCTGCTCTGCCCTCCGTCCGTCCGTCTGCTCTGCCCTCCGTCCGTCTGCTCTGCCCTCTGTCCGTCCGTCCGTCTGTGCTCGCCCTCTGCGGGCGGGTCCCCTCGGCGGGCCTCGTGTTCCGGGCCGGCTGCACGGACTGCTGAACAGGCGCCGTCCGATGGGGTGCTCGGCGGCGTTTCCTGTTTTCCTGTCGCCTCAATAATCACGCTTTTTTCCCTTTTAAATGCCAACTTGCATCCCTTGGAAGGAAAGAGGTTTTCCTTTCTTCAAACTGGTGTTTTGTTGGGGGGGGGCGGCGGGGCGGAAGGAAATCCAAATCATTCGCTTTGGAACGGGGGGGGGAGCGGGGGGGGCAGCAGAAGCTCCTCTGTCTTCAGGCGGGGGCGGGGGGGGGGCGGGGGCGGGGGGGTGGCCCGGGCTGGACTGCGCTGTTGTGGGGGCCGTCCTGGGCCACGTGGGAGACTGAGCAGCATCTCTGACTCCACCCCTAGGGGCCCTCAGCACCCACCCCAGAGGGGACCCCAAAACACAGCTCCCCCATCACCACGTGTCCCAGGGGGACCCCTCTGAGAAATGGGGCCCCTGTCCCTCCCTTCCTTCCTTCCTTCCTTCCTCTCTCTCTCTCTCTCTCTCTCTCTCTCTCTCTCTCTCTTTTCTTTCTTCTTCCCTCCTTCCTTCCTAATATGCTTTTATTGCTTTTATGTCAGGTGGAGAGGAAGGGAGAGAAGCATCGGTGAGGGAGACTGGCTGGCTGCCTCCTGCGCGCCCTCTCCTGGGGATCGAGCCCGCAACCCAGGCGTGTGGCCGCCCGGGACCCGGGCCGGGACTCGCTGGTCCGTGGGGCGATGCTGCCGGTCCCTTCTCATGAGGAAGGGGTTTCTGTGCCGGAGGAGGAGGGGCTGGGGTGACGGCCCCGGGAGAGGCGGGCCGGGCGGACCGTGGGGCAGCAGGGCCCCGCTCAGGAAGCCCCCTTCTCCAGACACACCTTTGGAACCGTGTGCGAGGCCTCTGTTCCCTGCGTCACGGGCGGCCGGACCCGGGCCCGCTGGCTGCAGCCCCGCCGAGCCGGTGCCCACCCCCGACGTCGCCGAGGGACAGGCCTGCGGGAGGCGGCTCGCAGAGGCGCAGGCTCGGGGCGGGCGGGGCGGGCGGTGCTCCCGGGAGACCGGCCTGCATGGCCTCCGCATCTGGGGTCCCTCCCAGCGTGACTCAGGCCTGGACTCGCCTCCCGAACCCGGGGAGGGGAACCCAGGGCGCCCTCTCCTCCCGCCCTGCGGCCCCAGTCCCGGCCAGGGAGCAGCGCCCCCTCCCAGCGGGGGCGGGGCGGGGCCACCGCAGGGCGGGAGGAGGCAGGAGGCCGCAGACCCCTCCTCGTCCGCCACCTGCCTTCTCAGTCCTGCCTGGGCCTGGGCGCACCCCTTTTCCTCTCCTCCTCACCCGAGGGTCTCTTCCCACCATCCTTAGGGAGAGCGGAAGAGGGAGACACGGAGAAACATGCATGTGAGAGAAGGGTTGCCTCCCACACGAGCCCCCACCAGGGCCCGGCCCCAGGAGGAGCCTCCGTGCCCTGGACCCGAATCAAACCCGGGACCCTTTGGTCCGCAGGCCGAGGCTCTACCCACTGGGCCACACCGGCCGCGGCTGGGTGCGCCCTCCGAGGAGGTGAAGCTCATGGTGACCGCGCGAGCTTTCTTCTGGCTAAAACCCGCCGGCCGGCACCTTTGGCCCCGCCCACCTCCGTGAGGTCACCCCCAGGCTAGGTCACCCCCTCGGGGGCGAGGGGCTCACTCAGCACCACACGTGGGACCACACCCAGCCCAGCGCCTGGTGAACGTGGCGCTCCCACCTCCGCCGCCGTGGGCGCCGGCTGCTCCGCGGGCGGGCGGGACCTCCGATCGCCGTCGCACGGCAGACGGGCCGGCTGCCCGCAACGCGCCCGACGCCCGCGTGGCGAGGGCCCCGCAGGCGGCCCGC